TCAAATATAGATATCAGACAGTGGGAGGAAAGGGACAGAAAACAATGATGATGGGGTTTTATGTCAAACCTGTGTGCTGTGATAGCCCAGCAGAGATGCATCAAGGTGCATCATAAGTGCATCAAGTGCCTTCCTCCTTGGAAGGAGGTTTATCTTCTTTCTGATGAATCAAGTTAAACCAAGTTATATTGCTTTGTTGTGTGTCCATTGCCTTAATACCTTCTTTTCTAATGGGTGATTATTATATTAGTTTGTTAGAAACAGGAAAGAAAATTGCAAAGCACATGATGTGTAGAATCATGCCTGATATATGACATCATATAAGTATGTGCATGTATTTGCACTCATGCACATGTAAATAATTAAGCCATAACATACTTGAATCTGTTACATAAACATTATAAAGAAATCTACCTGTTTGCTCTTCTTACCCCACTGTATATGTTGGGAAGTTTATTACTTTAATGAAATCTTTCAAAGACTTGAGGAAAGGATATTGGCCTAAAGCTTTCGTTATTATCTGTTCACGTAGGGAAGGAAATTCAGCTGTATCCTTGTCTGAAACTGCAGGCCTGAATACATCCCCAAAGAACAACAGATTTTAGATGTTCATGATAATAACAAAGCCACTCACCATTGAAATTCCCACTAACAACTCAAGACATGGTATATGTGATTCATAGATTTCAGTTTTTGAATACCACATTCCAACCACCTTAGCTTATATGCCCACAAGCTTCACCTGGATGCCAGAAACTAAGAAAAACACATTTGGTATGTTCAAAGGTGCTCTGTAAAGATACAACTTTTCACTCAAGTTTTTCTGGCTATCCAACATGACAATCAGAATATAGAAAAAGAAATAAATATAATTATATATATATATAGGTTATAGATATGTACAGGTAATCTGGTAGGTGAAATTATATCTCATTCAAAATGCCTTATTAAGAAAAAACACATGAAAATAATTTGCAGCCTTTAGTAAAATAAGTTATCATAAATGTTAGGTTCAGTTTAATGGGGAAAAAGGATGCAAAGTGGAAAGAGAATCAGTATTTTTGTGTCATGATTGTGCCTACATAATGCCTTTTAATATTTAAACCAAAGCCGTGCTAGAAGTCATTAAGTGGATACAATAAAGGGTGAAAAAAATCACACATACAGATGCTTAGAAAGGCCCCACCTTCCTCAAATTAAAAAGTAATGTATGGTCAACCCTAATTTAAAATTATATTTATCTAAAAGCAGAGAGTCTGAGGTGTTCACTCAACCTCCCAATACAAATAATGTCAAAGGAAGGTAAAAATGCAGGTAAAAAATGTAAACCTTGTATGGGAAACAAATTAGATTCAATTGCAATCTGTATTATGAATTATCACGTGTCTTATTAGAAACCACATTTTCTACAAAATATAATTTTAAATGTCCTACTTTTCTTGCCAGCACAAATTATCCCAAATAGTAATGATTATGTAATCACTATGAAAACTTTTCTCATAAGATGAAATGTTTCTAAGACTCACATGTGATAGATTTTCCTTTAAGTTGGATTAAAAGAGAATGTTTTTTATTTTGTGTATTAGTTTGTATTTTTGCTGCTACTTATGATGTAAACTGTAAAAAATTGCTTGCTTTCAAATGTGATATTTAGAATTCTAATGACTATGCCCATTTTACGATTATCCAAAATTACCAAAAAATCTTTACAAAATGCAAAGAATCATGTTCATCTATTCATTACGTATTTATTTTTATCATTTGGTACAACTTACTCTAGATTTTCATTTTTCAAGTTTCTCTGCCCACTGTATAGGTGTTCTTGCCTACTTGTTTATGGCAAACATGGTGACTGCATTTGTGCCCTCTATCTGAACTTTCCAGGGCCTTAGAACGAATTTCCCTTTGCCTTGTGGAGGAGGTCCACATCAGTACACCATGTCCTCAAGGCCTCTTCCGGGTTGCAGCTCTTCTTATTTGTGGTTTGCAAGAAAAAGTTCCCTAAAGTCAGTTGTATGTACTTCTTGCCATAAGGACAGATCTTCACAAATAGGAAACTCCTCTGATGGTAGACTCAAGAATTTCTGGATTGAAAAGATATTTGTGTTCTAGAACACTTTTTAAATATGGATTTCCTATATGCAAGATAAATACGTCACCAAATCTGGTTTTAAAGAACTAAGCAAAACCAGTCTTCCAGACCTTGGCACTTCTCCTCTGTGATGTCTCCAGATTTCTCAAAGTGCCTGACGTTGAGAAGCAGGAGATCAATCACTGAGCAGAGCTTAAAAATTAAAAT